AACTCTAAATTTCTAACTTTTTTTTCTAAATAAAAAAATGGAAATAATATGCGTCAATGTATTGTCACTAAATTTTATGGTAAACGTTAACTTTATCTTGAGCGCATGTAACCGATTTTGTAGGCATTGAATCGTTCAGTATCATAAAATTGCTATAACAATAAATATCGTATAAACTGTAGTCTTATCAATATTCCATACATTAAGGTTGAAAAGGTGACATCCATTTACATAAATTGTAATTTAGTATGGATAAAAGACTAAAAGTAATATGCTGAAGTGGCCGTCGAGACATCGTAAAGATACATTTTATGATTGACACTCTCCTTCTCACTAGTTAAACCACCGATGTCAGTCACGGTAAAAAAGATAATGTATTTAGTACTATAAACAACCTCTATGCGAAAAAAAAATAATCAGTTAAAAGTAAAAATATTGTTGCTTCTTAAATCTACCAATTATAATTAAAGAAAAATGAAATGACTACTATTAAATAAAATAAAATAATTTGAGTTTAATTAAAAAAATATATCATATTATTAAAATTTTAATATAGTTAAAACTCATATAAAAATTAAATATTTATCCAAAAAAACTTTTAAAAAATGGCTTACAATAATATTATTGTTTTGAAAATACACTTCATATTAAAAAAATGTACAAGTTACAACAAAGCTACTGGTTAAATTTTCTAAGTTAAACTACATTCTATAAAATTCAATCAAAAAGATTTTTCAATTATATGGATGCTATAATAAGAAATTTACTTATAATTATCATAGCGTTTTTCTAAATAGAACATACATCATAAGATTTTATAACATGCGATGTAGAACTAATGTACTATTATATTGAACTATTGTATCAATGACCTGAAAGCCTATACTTGTTTTAATATATATGTATTTATTTATTATCAAATTTCATTTGAGTACTCAGTATATTTTCAATGTCCACAAAAATAATCAAGTTAAAGGTTCAAACAATAGCTTGATATGGTTCTAACTGATATGTCAACTGTTTTCTGAGCTTAATTGTACAACTACACATTTAAACATCCTTTTATGTTTTTCTCCTAGTTTTTTTTCAAAATAACCAGTTTTTGAATGAGACTTGAAAAAAATTTTGCTACAAATCTCAATAAATCCTATGAGGTGATTTAAACCTTATTTCTTATCTTCTTANTAAAGGTTCAAACAATAGCTTGATATGGTTCTAACTGATATGTCAATTGTTTTCTGAGCTTAATTGTACAACTACACATTTAAACATCCTTTTATGTTTTTCTCCTAGTTTTTTTTTCAAAATAACCAGTCTTTGAATGAGACTTGAAAAAAATTTTGCTACAAATCTCAATAAATCCTATGAGGTGATTTAAACCTTATTTCTTATCTTCTTAGTTCTCTCCTTCAAACCTCCCGCATAATTCTTAATGACCACAAATTTAACAAACATTAAGCAATATGAATAAAGGAAAAATATTGCTCAAGAAAGTAGGATTGAAGTTTATGAACTAAAAAAGTGCAAACTTGTTCACAAATTAAGTATAACTATCTTGATAGGTGGACTATTTTTTAGAGAGGAATTTGGCATTTAGACTTTCTTCACAGTTAACTCTGTGTTGAGGATATAATTTCTTTTTGCTGACTTATGCATCCAAAATACATAATTTTAATGAGCCACCCTCAAATGATGCACCTTCCTGTAAGACCGTTTATTTTAAAAAAATAACAAATTTCAAAATTGTTTAAATTAAAAAAAAAAATCTTAAGAGGAAACAGAGATACGAAGTTTAGAAAAACAATGCGATTTGTTTCTTATAAAATTACATATAACAAAGTGGAAATTACTTAAAATCAAAAACATGCAAAACTACAAACGTTCAATTAGTATGAAATATTTTACACGTGAAGCTATGTTACATATGCTCTTAAAATAACCATACCTTTATCAGTTATATTTTCAAAAATATTTTTTAAAACTTTGAAATATTGATAATGGTATTTATCACTATGACAGTTATCACGTCAAACTAAGGTTAACTAAGTTATATTCATGAATTTTACGCAATTTGTTTATCAAACAAAAATTATATAGTTTATGTATCCCCGACAAGACATTGATCTATAAGAGAATGTTGAAATTTCATTACCATTAGTGTTCCTGGCTAAATTGTTTAGTATATTATACTACGCTGCACGCAATTGTGCTACTAAATCACATCTTATAAACACATATATACAAGATATCATATAGTTATAATATTTATATGTAATAAGACAATGACTGAAAAGCAGACATAACGACTAGTGAAATATTTATGATATTTTATCGCTAATGAGAAACAATAAAATATTTTATTTTTTCCAAATAAGACTTATGTATATAAATTGGTGATAGTAAACACAACACTTGTAGTAGCATAATTGAGACGTGTATAAATGGAGATGAAATCTAAAAAAAACTTAGCACAGGGTGGTCGCGGCACAGTGGTGACGTGGTATAGGTGGATCAAGTATAATGATATCTGACAGTGAT